TTGTACTTTTTGACAACGATAAATATCGCAATTATTTAGAATTATTAGAATTAGATCGATTATTAGTATTAGATCGATTTGAACTGAAAATGGAATTAGATCGATAGTATGAAATACTGCACAGACAACATAATACTTTCTATACCTATGCCTAAATTGTGGCATACGATATCTATCGAAATTTATATTTAGGTTCTATAGAGATTTCGATCGATAACGTAAGCCGAAATTTGGGCTCTGAATATAAAATGTTAACTAGTAGTTAGTATATTAAAGAATAGACAAATCATTTGACTAGTACCTAGTCTTTAACTAGTTAGTATATTAGAGAATATACTAGTATATAGTCCGTAGGCAGGACCATAGATTGGTCAAAAAATTAATCTAGAGACTAGTCCAAGAACTAGTCATTAAACTATTCCATGGACTAATCCATTAACTAGTCAATAGACGAACTATAGACTAATCGAGATACTATAGTACAATGATATAGTTCATAGACTAATCAGTAAACTAGATCGTAGACTCTTCATTAGACTAGCCAATGGACTTGTGAAAGGACCGGTCCATAGACTAGTCAACAGACTCATGAACATTTAAATCAATAGACCACTTGACAGACTAGCCGATACACTAGTTAATAGATTAGACCATAGAGATAGTCATTGCCCATTGACTAGAACATAGACTTGCCAATAGACTAGTCTATAGACTAATCAATAGACCATTTCATGGTCCAATACATAACTAACTAATCAATAGATTGTTCCATGGTCTAATATATTAATTAGTCAATAGATAAGACTAAAGGCTTATCGAGAAACTAGTCCAAAGACCAATCAATAGACTACTCCATAGACCAGTTAGTACATACATATATTAGCAGAAGACTAGTTGGTAGACTAATCAATAGAATAGTCCATAGTCAATAGACTACTAGTTCGTAGACTATTGAATAGATTAGTCCATAAACTTGTGAAAAGTCCCGTTCATAGACTGGTCAACAGACTTATGAACATTTAATCCATAGACCACTTAACAGACTAGCCGATACACTAGTTAATAGACTAGACCAAAGAGATAGTCATTGCCCATTGACTTGAGCATAGAATTGCCAATAGACTAGTCTATAGACTAATCAATAGACCATTCCATGGTCTAATAAATAAACTAGTCCATAGACTTATCAATAGGCTACTGCATGGTCTCATAAATTAACTAATCCATAGACTATTCCATGTTCTAATATATTAATTAGTCAATAGATAAGACTAAAGGCTTATCGAGAAACTAGTCCAAAGACCAATCAATAGACTACTCCATAGACCAGTTAGTCAATCAATAGATAATCAATAGAATAGTCCATAGTCAATAGACTACACAATAGGACGGTCAATAGACTAGACCATTGACTTTTCACTAGACTAGTCAATAGATTAATCCATAGATTAGTTCATATATTAGCAAATGAGTAGTTTATAGAGTAATCAACAAACTAACTCGTATAATATTTAATATATTAGTCAATGTACTAGTGAAAAAGCCAGTCCATAGGCTAGTCAACAGACCAATCAATTGATTTGTCAAAGGACTATTCAATAATTTAGTGCAAAGACCGGTCAATAGAGTAGTCAAAAGACAATAAACTTGTCCAGAGACTTATCAATACATTTGTCCATAGACCAGTCAATAGATTAGCCCATTGATAGGACCATAGACTTGTAAATAGATAAGGCAATAGAGATAGAAAAGCCAAAAAGTAATTTAGTACATTGAATGCCTGCATTCAGCTAAAATTTTCATGAAACCCTATTCTATATATTCACTATATCTGCAATAGAAAAATCATAATAATAATAGAAGCAATACAATTTTGAAATAAGAAGAAAAGCCAAAGAAATTATTGTACGTTTAATTTTCAGTTTAATTTTGTGTAAAATAATTTATAATTAAACAATTTGAATTTACAAACAATATTTTCATTATAATAAAACGACGATTTACAAAATATCTTTTACTTTTTAATTGATACATTTATAATTAATTAATAATACAATTATTAGTTATTTTTATTGTTTATTTATAAGTATGTATAGGTAAAGTTAAAATATATTTAAAAAAACACGAAATAAAAAAGCGCAAAACTTTTTTTTAATTCATTATATTGTTTCATATAAACATTAAAATCAATTATTCAAACAACTTTATTACAATAAAAAATTACAAATTATTTTATTTTATTTAGTTTATTGTAGGACTTAAAACTAAAAACATTAAAACATGAGTGGTAGTTAATAGTACAAAGTAATTTAGTATTTTCAAAATAAACTCAACTAAAACTAAAATGTATTGTAGGCATAGCATTACTAAGGTTAAAATAAATTAACAGTGACTTATACATTTTTTTTTTCTTTAAACAAAATATATATATAAAAAAAAATAATAATTAAATAAAAGCGAGGATTTGCTATATATAGTTGTAATAGTTAGAATAACAGGAGAAAAAGGAGTAGAATAGTATGAACAGAAATATTTTAGTATAAAAACAAAATTACAATTTTACAAAACAGACTTGCAACATATGCTTCTTCTTCTACTTCATTCGGCTTATTACTCGTTTTATGTTTTTTTTTTTTAACAAAATTTATGATTTATGATTTATGATTTTTTACAAAAAATATTACATGAACAAAATATTAACATTGTTTTTTTTTCTAATTACAGATTTACACAGGAGTTTACAGAAACATTATTGTTTTTTTTTTCTCATTAACAAATAAAATGTACAAGGGGTTTTTTGGTACTAAAATTAATTTTAAAATTTAGAGGGAGTATTACTTAAATTGAGGCTTAAATGTTAAATAAATATTAAAGTTTCAGGGGGGAGTGGGGGTGGTTTTGGAAAGAGATTAGTGTGATGCTGGATATCTAAAGAAAAACATTGAATGGTTGTTTAATTGTTAAAAGAGGATGTAGAGGTTATATAAAATAAAATTATTTACTCAAGTATATTTTTTCATATAAGGAACTGAAATTTTTAAATTTTTAACAATTTTTTTTTTTTTAAGAATTAGTTTTAATTTGTGTTCCTTTTATTTGAAATATGCTTGAGGCGTTGGTATGTATTTATGTTTTAAATGTATAGTCACATATTCGATCTTTGTTATTTTCTTTTTGTTTAAAGTGGGGATCATGATCATCATTTTTTTTAATTCTTATTATTTTCTTTGTTATGATTTGTTTGTTTAATTATTTTAATAAAAATTCGCTTAATCGCTCATCATGGTTTAAGTTTGTTTTTTGTTTGTTTAAAAATTCTAATTCTACAGTTTGTTTGTTTTACTAAAATTTATCAGATTATTTATAAGAGATTATACTTTTTTTTTAATAATAATATTTATATATTTATATAGAGTTATGATATCAATGTGTAATTTGTATTTTCTTTTTGTTTTTTTAACTTTTATATAAATGAGTTTTTTTTCTTTATCTTGGTTTATATATATGTATATGTTTATAGTTATGTATGAATATGAATGTGAGTGTGTGTGTGTATAAAAATTTGAAATTTTAATTTTTAATCAATAACAATTTTGTTAGTTTTAGTATAAAATTAAAGGATTTCTTTCAATTTTGTTGTTAAATGTTTTGAAATATTTAAAACAACTTACGAAAATTGTTATATATTTTAAATAAATCTCTTGTGAACATTAATTTCGAAAATTTTAATAAATTTGTTTTATTTATTTACCATATGAGTATTCAAAACTTGTCTTTTTTTTAGACTTTGAGATTTCTCTTGGAATTATAAATCTTGCCGAAGTTTGTAAAAACATTTTGAATTTCTTTTCGAAAAAGACAAGACAAGACATGCATGTATTTGTATATGATTCTATAGCTTATTTTAAACGTTTTCTTATTACAAACCAAATTCGATCCAACTTTAAATTCGAAGAAATGTATTACGATAGTTTAAAAAAAACTTTAACAAAGATATTTTCTTATATTCGCAGTAAATATTTTATAGGATCTTTTGTTTTTCTTTATGAAATTTTCTTTAAAATCATGAAATTTTGTAATTTTAACTTTAACCCTAACAAAATTGTTTTTGACCGATCATTTTCGTTTTCATATCAAAATATATACTTTATGATGCTTTTGTTTTAATGCATTTTTTTTGTTGATTTTAGTTTCTCATCACACCGTTTTTGTTTAATTTAAATCAAACTCTTTTTTTATGTTTGTTTTTTTTTAGTTAATAATAAATTTACGTTAAAAAGTTTAACTTTAAGTTAAAATGACTCTTTTTTTCATCATCATCATCATCATCATCTTCTTTTGCTGCTTCGTTCCATTAAATGTTTTTCTTTCTATAAAGTTTGGTTTTATATACAAAAAAAGTTTACATAAGATTTTCTTGTTTTTTTTTTTCATTACTCATTTTGAAACATTACAAATTTTACATTGAACATAATTTGTTAAATAGTTTTGGTTTTGTTTTTGTTTTTTTCACTTACACTTAAAATTACATTAGTAGTATAAGTAATAGGAGTGTTGGGGGGGGGGGGGGGGTGGTTTATAGGTGAAATAATAAAATCTACATTTACACTTAAAAATTATAAACAAAATAATTAAATAATAAAGTTTTACAATCAATCAGTTTTTCTTAAAAGCAAAAAACAAAAAAAACTACAGTTACTAAAAGTCTCTTAACTAACAATTTAGGAATTATTTTTTATTTTTTTCCAAATTTTCGTTCAAACAATTATTACAAATATTTTCACAAAATTTAAAAAAAAAGTTTAAAAATGTTTTAGTTTTTACTAGCAAGTGGCAGATTAAAGCGAGAGTTTAAGTGGTATTTAATTTAAAACAAAACGTGAGTTTTTTTATAATAAAATTTAAAAATTTTTCGAAATTATTTTAATGGAGAGTTCATACTTTTTCTTCAGAAACATTTTGCAGTATTCTGAAAAGTTTTTTTTTAAAACAATTCTTTATTTATAAAAACTCTCCAAATAATTTTCCTAATTTGGCAAAAAAGCTTTAGTTTTTTTTGTAAATAATTTCTTAAAAAAATCATTAATAACTCTTCGAAACATGCTTTTCTTGTGTTGTTTGCTTTTTTTTAGTCTTAAAAATATAAATATGTAAATATGTATAGTTATGTATTTATAGTATTTAATTATAATTATAATAATAAAAATTACCACTAAACTTAAACAAATTGTGTGTGTTCTCTTGGGTTGATTTCTCTTCATCTTCTTTATTTTTATCATAATTATCAGCAAAATTTAGTTTTTTAAAAAAGTGTTTTTATATTTTTATACAATTTCTTCTTGTTGTTGTGGGGTTTTTTAAAAAAATCACTTATTTTGTTGTTAATTTTTAAACAATTTAAAATCGTAAGTTTGTTTTTTCTGTTTTCTTTTTTTAAACCTTAAAGCGTTGGCTTTTGGTTTGGAGTTTCTTGTTTAGAATTTCCTTTTGTTTTCATATTTATATCATCAATTTGAAGTTTTTTTCTTTTCTTTTTCTTCTTTAACTCTTTAATACGAGTTTTTGATTTGTTTAATTAATTATAATATCTAAATGATTTTTGTTTCAAATAATGTTTGCTGTTGTCTTAAAGTCTAACATTAATTATGTTTATCAAACGTTGCTCTTAACTAAAAGTCTTAAATTAAACGAAAGAAAATTTAGTTTCTATTTTCCAGTGTGTTATGTAAAAAATCCAGCTTACAAAACCCCATTTGTAGTGGGTGGACCAATGGGTCCCAAATTGGTGCTAGTCACTACGGATGTTACCGAATTGCTGACATTGACAGCACTTGTGTCCATAGGTGTGCTTACACTGATGCCATTCTCTAATGATTGCTGCTGCTGGCTGACAGAAGCAGGTGTAACTGCTGTTGCTGTGGCGGTATTTGCTGCTGTGGTAATGGCAGCTGCTGTTGTTATGGTATTGCCCGCTGTTACTGTTATGCCAGCTGTGGTATTAGCCGAGGAGGCCGCTATACCACCTATGCCGACACCCACTACGCCTGGTGTGCTGGTGGCTGTTGTTGTGATGGGATTGGAGGTTTTCATGAAATACTTTTCCAATTTGGCATTAATGTGTTTGCCGTAAGTGTATTTGCGTAGCGCTGCCATATGGGGTCGTATTTTATTCATGAGTTTCTTAAGTTGTGTCGGTTCCGAGACATCGATCATTTTTTGTACCACATAGTTGGCATACTGATCTTTCATCATAACGTGTAAGGCACTGAAAAACGAGAAATTTATTAGTTTTATTTAAAATCATATCAAGAAAAACTAGAAACTTACTTGTCATTAAATGTACAGACTTCATCAATAAGTGCTGTACGCTCAGATCGTGTGGCATGTGTAACACATTTCTCAACAACATTGGAAGCAAATTTGTGTTGTGACAAAACCAATACTTTGCCTCTTACACTATTAATTAAAATTGATTTATCCTCAGGTTTGCCATGTTCTAGAAAAAAAGAAAAAACAAAAATATTATCAAAAACACAATACTTGTTGCAATGCCACAATCTAACTTACCCAATACATGTTGTATAACATAATTGCCATATTGATCCTGTATCAATTGTTCTGTATGCTCGTGTAATTCATCCAATATGGGCTGTGTCTGCTCCGCAGTGCAATGCTCTAGAATGCGTTGTATAACACGACAACCGTAGGGATGAGTACTCAACGAATACACCTGACTCTTGAAGGCATTTATGATGAACTGCAATGCTGAGGGATCAACGCATTCAATGCATTTCTGTACAACATGATTGCCATTCTGATCTTTCACACACTTCAAAACGTTGCCATCCAATTCACGTACAATTTCCTGTTGCTGTTCGGCCGAAATTGATTCTAGGGCTTTTTGTATAACCCGGCAGCCGTACATTTGTAGCGCCAGCTGTAGTACATGACCCTTGACCTGCATGCCCAAAGTGTTTTTCTGTTCGGGAGTGCCGAATTCAAAGAATTTCTGTATGACATAATTGCCAAAGACATCAGTCATGAGACTGTAGGCAGCACCTAGGATTTCATTAAAGACCATTTGCTTTTCAGCTGCGGTAGCACGTTCAAGTTTTTGTTGTATGAAACGGGAGCCATGTTGATCTTGTGAAAACTCGACTATATGATTGGCCAAGTCACGCAACTGTAGATTGGGATAACGTTGGTTGCGGAAATCTTCTAGGAGACGCGAACGACCCGGTTGGGCAGCACCACCAGCAGCCGCGGCTGCTGCTGCAGCTGCGGCGGCGGCCGCTCCTACACTTCCCACACCGGCTGCCACTGTTTGTCTGGTAGCAGCCGCAGCGGCGGCGGCAGCTGCTGCAGCAGCAGCTGCGGCTGGTGTCGTACCCGGTATAGCCAAGTGCTTAGAGAATAATGAACTATTTGAACCAAACATATTGTTGGCAGCTGCTGCCACGGCCGCCGCTTGGGCAGCTGCTGCAGCTGGTGGCAAACCCACAGCCATTTGTTGACGATATTTAGTTTCAGCTCCTGGAGCACGATTATTAATTAGGCACGATTGTGGTGGTGGAGGTGGTGTAATGGCAGCTCCGATGGGACTGGCTGAAGCTGTTGCTCCTAAAGCACCATATGTATTGGTCACTGCACCCGGCCATTTGCCGCGAGCAGCGGCAGCAGCTGCTGCTGCGGCGGCTGCTTGTGCTACTGTGGTCGAAACCGCATTGGCGGCAGCAGCATTACTGTTGGTATAATCCATCGCTGAGGGACTAAAGGCAGAAGTGGTGCGATCAAATGAATCTCGTCTTCCGGTCAATGATGATGTATTCAAAGCAAGACCTAGTCAAGTTGAAGTTGGGAAAAAGAGAAAAAGAATCATAGATTTAAATAGTTGTTAAATTGAACACTATAAATTTAAAAAAAAGTGTAAATAGCATAGCATACTTTTGACCGTTGAAGCAGATTTATAATACACATTTAATTCTTTAATTTTTAATAAATACTTTAAAATATTTTAATTTAATAATTTCCTTTATAAAAGAAAAAATCCTATTAGTCCAAGATAAATCCGGATATATGCAGACATCTAACTATATTTGAAAAGCATACAAATAACAAACAAAGTTTAAATTGCATTTGTGTCTTTTGGGTTTTAACGCACACCAATACTCATTCATTGTCATACAATACTGCAAACATACAATTTAGAATACGAGAAAGAGAGACAAACGGAAAACAAATATTGTTAGAGTAGTGGTGTTTGTGTGTGGCGGTAGTAAGATCCGGAAAAAATCCAATGCACCTGTGAACGGTCACGTTTGAAGAAATTTTATTGTTATATAAAAAAAAAAAGATTTTAAAGCATAGAAATAAACCTCAAACCCACACACATACACACCTATAATATAAACTAACACGTACATAATAAAACTCTCACTCAAACAATGACAAACATTTTAATACAAAAAGACAGACAATGTGAGTGAGAGAGAAGAAGAAAGATGAAGGTAGGATTTTTAATGCAGTCGTAATGTGGCTACATAAAAGGTGGCCTATGGAAAGAAGATGCCAAATGTTGAAAATAGAAAATGGCAAGTATGTATGTGGTATGAGTTTATTTAAGTAGTATTAGCGTACAATTTGTTTAACAACCACGTATTATAATCAAAGAAAAGTAAAATTTAATGTTCTGTTATTCCTTCATGAACTGAACTGAACAGAATAGTTGAAGTATTTTTACAATAAAACTTGGGCGAAAATGTAGTAAGTTACTATGTGTAAGTAATATGACCGTATGTGGGAAGTTTTTTTAACCTTAAAAATATAAAAATAATAAAATTTGGTTGACAGGGAAAAGAAAAGTAGTTTAGCAACCGAATTAGAAAAAAATACAGATAAGCTACTTAATTGACATAAGGTTAAGTAACACAAGAGCCAGAAAGAAGAGAAAGAGAATCAGATTAAATGGAACTCATTTCGTTAAAAACTTAATTACAAAAAAAAAAAAAAAAAAAAAATTAATAAAATAGTTTGAAAATAGAAGAGAGATAATAGAAAACTGATGTTTATTATATGTTAGGTAAAATAAAACATAATAAATTTGATTTTGTAATCTTAAGAGAGCTTTTGAGAAAGGTTAAAAAAAAAATCTAAAAATATACGGGCTTTTAAAAAGAAGCCCGAAAATATGCTATATATTTTAAATTAGTACATGAGTTTTAACCTCCTAAAAGTAGGCAAAAGCCTGCTTAAGCTTTGGACATCTAAAAATATACTAATGCTTTGGTTTAATAAAATTGTTAAATGATTTTTTAGCCCCTAAAAATATGCATTAATTATCAATTCTTTTAAAATGTATATTGTTAACAAACTCCTTAAAATACAGATATTTTTAGGTTTATTTTAGCTTAAATCATTAAAAAATCTGTGAAATATACTACATATTTTAAAACTCCTACAAATATGCTTCATATTTTCAAGACTCCTAAAAGTCTACTTTATTAAAATATTCTTTAATTACCACTCCATTATAACTGTAAAAATTACCATTTATAAAGTTGTCATCATATTATATTAGCTAGCTCCTAAAAGTATACTTTAATTTATAATAATTTAATGTAATTCATATATAAACACATGTTAAATAGTTTCGTTATTATTTTACGTTTTTTTCTTTCTCATTTATTTTTAACAAAACATTTTCACGGCAATTTGTGGCAAAAACACACAAACAAACTACTTTATTATTGGTTAGAGAGCAAAAGTAGAGAAAAAAAATAACAAATACCAACATATGCATAAACAAAACAATTATTGTTAACAATTACCCATGCATGGTAAACAAAACTAAATACTTGTTTAGTTTTAACCAAAAACAGAAATGAAAAAAAAAAAAAAAGAAATCACAATAAAAACAATAATTGTTATAACTGCAACAGCAGCAATTGTAGCAACAATCATTTTAAAATCTACATCCATATTGCAGACAGCATGTTTATGCACAGTAGTACATGTGTTGCATTTCTATCTGTGATAAAATATAATAAAATTTAGAACAATTTAAAATAAAAATTTTCCCGCAACGTTTTTAACCCATTTTTGCAATTTTTATAAAAAGTGAAGCCTATTAGTAGGGGTTATAGTTAACTGTAGATAATTTCATTCTAGTCATTTTATTATTCTTTAGCTGAAACACTGCTATACTTTTTTGAATTATGACAATTTTATAGCCTACTTTTAGATGCCAAATTGGAGATCTGTTAGACTTTGCAAATCAAAAGATTACTTCAATTGTACAAAAACCTTCTATCGCCTCCTATAGGATTAATTTATCTCGCTTTTTTACATTTTTAAAACAAACACGTGAATATGATTTTTTTTAATATATTTTATATAAAAGTTGCCATAATCACATCCCTACAAACACGCAACGTGACTTTTAACACATACAAAGGACACATACCTGTTCACATAACTACATACATACCAAAATATTAATAGTTTCATAAATTTATACAGTAAATGTGCAAAAATACATATAAAAATGTAATGCATTTATAAAATTACCCACACAAAGACAGTTATCAACATACTATAGACATAAACACTAGTGGCAGGAGGAAGTGGAGTATGTTATATGTAACATTGTAGTTGGTTGTTGGTTATTTTTAATGTTTTACCACTAAAAACGTGGCAAAAATATATTTTTTTCTGCACACACACACATTCACACCATAAATATGTATACCCATGTTATGATTGTATTACAATGTGAATTTGTTTGTATTTATGATTATAAAGAGAGATATAGAACAAAAATGTTTGATGATTTTAAATCTTAATCAAGAGAGTCATAAAATGTTAACTGATTTCGTAGTGTTAAAAAAATTTAATGTTTAAAATGTTCATTGGGTAATTGTAGCAATTTAATATAAATTTAATTTGTTTTCATCCTAAAAGTAGGCAATATTTAAGGTTTAATACAGTTTGTATATGATAAGCAGCAGTATTCAGCAGCTAGATGTGTATATAGTGGTGGCCAATTATAATTAATCAATTGTTTTTCGAAACGGGTCCCAGTCGTAACAATTTCAACGAAAATAAAATAATTATAATTAAATTTGAACTGTTTTATGGAATATGTATGTTCCCTAAAGCTTTCTTAGAACTAGTTACGGGGAAGAGGGATGGTTACAAATTCAAACAAAATCTTTTATTAAAGAGCTGATTTCATAACCATCCCACAGAACAATTGTCAACTTCATAACGTCTCCAAAGAACCAGTTCGAAAGGTGGCAGATTGGAACAAAAAATAATGGTTTCAACGCAAACTAGAACATGTAAAGAAAATAATAATGAGTTTTAGAACTAGAATATTTTTAGCATTTTACAGAAAGAAGACTTGTCTTGATCCTAAAATTAGGCAATTTTTACGCCTTTATAGTCATCCCAAAAGTATGCTTTAAATTTACACTTAATACATTTATTGCATATCTTAAGGCATATAATAAAATATTCATAAAAGAAATACTTTATAAAAGCATACACATTAGTATTTTGAAATACTTAAAAGCTTTTCAATCTGGCCACTAGATTTGCCTTGATCCTTAACATAGGCAATTTGTAACGCCTTTAAAGTCTTCCCAAAAAGTAGACTTTAAATTTATACTTAAGAACATGTGTTATATTTGTTAGAACATAATCTTATTTCTTTTGAATTTCTATTAAAACATTCACCTCAAACACACCTCGTATAAACAATTCATAAATAAGCTTTAGTAAAACCAACACGTGCTTAATTTTCATACATGGGAGTAGTTAATTATATCGACTAATTAATTGACGATTTCATTAGCATTAAATTGAAAAAAATTATAATTATTTTTTTTTTCATTAGCATTATTTTGTCTAATGGTAATGGTTTTTAATGAAACGATTTCATTAATAATTATTTAAAAATAAATTTTCATTACCATTATTCAATGGATTTTAAAAATTTTCGAACATTAGTTCGAATTTCGAAATTAATTTCGAATATCCGAACATTATAATGTATTGTCAGTAGGTGAAATAATGTATGCCAAATTTCAGCACATTCGGACTAGAAGAACTAGTTTTAACAGCTTTAAAAATTTTTCGAACACGAGTTCGAATTTTCGAATTTTTTTTTTAGGTTTTATGACACAGAGATTAATTTAAAAACATAAAAAAATTTTCGAAAATAACTTCGAATATTCGAACTTAATTTCGAATATTCGAACATATTATTGTATTGTCATCAGATGTACTTATGACTGAAAAATTTCAGCCAATTTGGGCTACGGGAACTGGTTTTAAAAGCTTTCAAGCCTCGAATCTTCGAAAAATTTTCCTTAATATATTTTTCGACAATTATAAATACTAATTAAATTCGTTTTTGAAAATTCATTATCAAATTCATTACCATTATCAAAAAAAGTTATAATGAAAAAAATATAATTTTCATTAAATGGTACTTAAAATATTTTTCATTACAATTTTTTCTATAAATGGTAATGAAATTTTAATGCTTAATGAAAAATTCCCATGTATGTTAATTTTAATTGCCGTTTATATAAAAATATTTAAACATTTAACAATTACATTTTATTTACCACTTATTTTTATGCAATTTTATATTTAATTGGTTTATTATTTACATTTGGGACAATCACAGTTTCATATTATATTATTGTAAACAGAAATTTTAATTAAAAATATCAATAGCATACTTTAGGGAACTTATATTTGGAAATAAAAAATCATTAATTAATAATAACAAAAAGAAATATACTTAAAGTATGCTACAATTTAAGTCTATT